ATATATATATATATATATGGTAAATTCTCTACAAAAGCTCCTTATTTTACTGAATTTTTATTTAGCGTCCACCTTTTTTTAATTTCACAAAGAGCCTTAAAATTTTAAAATAATAAAAGTAACTCTCAATGATTATTTGTTTTCTCTTAAAGAGTTGCATCTTTCTCTTCTCCCTTTTTAAATTCATTACATTAAACCAAACTACTCAATTGAACCAATTTAAAATAAATAATATTAAAAAAGTTGTATCCTCTCTCCCCCCACTTTTCAAATTTATTATGTTGAATCAAACCGCTCAATCGAAGCGGTAGTACCAAGTCAACCAATTTACAAATAAATAATATTTAATAATATAATAATATAATAATTTATGATAGTAAATATCTTAATTAAATATATAAAATTATTTTAAATTATAAAAATAAAAAGTAACATAATATAAAAAATAAAATAAAAATTATTGTTGTTATCTATAAAGTAAAAAAAATAATATATTAAAAATATTTATATTAAAAAAGATAAAATTATTGAATTATTTAAAATCTTCAAAATAAATTTGAAAGCTCTATATAACCATTACTTTTTATTTTTAAGCCTTTAAAATAGTTTTTAAATTAAATTTGACACTTACAAAGTTAAATTTCTCCAAAAAATACCAAATGTTTTTTAAAATGTCCTTAAAATGGATTCTAACTAGGTTTGAAATCTATTCGGGAAGTGTGGTAAAAAAAAACCCATAATTTAGACTCACTCACACTATTTTTTTGGTAATTTAAAAATACTATAAGTGGGCCAAAACCTAGTCAAAACAAGTTAAAACTTTGAGAACACTTTTTAATTACTTTCATATAAACAAAAGTATAAATTGTTTTTTAATTTAGAGAATTTATTTGATATTTTCAAATTGTGAATACTTTGAATTTTTATTTTCTTCAATTTTTTTACAAAATTTGACAAATGTGTTGCTTCCATGCAATATTTTCTAACATTTGAAATTCTAAATATATTTGAAACATATTCTGAAATTTTGTTCTAAAAATTTCATGATTTAGACCCACATATTATTTTTAGGGACAATTCAAAAATAGTATAATTGAGTCAAAACCTAATCCAAACAAGTTAGAACTTTCAAAGAAACCTTTGAATTCCTTCTAGATGGATAAAGATATAATTTTTTTTTTCTATTTTAGAGAATTTATTTTATTTCTTGATATTTTTATATTGTGAATACTTTGAATTTTTCTAATTTATTCAATTTTGACAATATTTGACAAATGTCATGCCTCTATTCAATATTTTCTAATATTTGAGCTTCATAATAGGTTTAAAACTTATTATGAAAGTATGGTCCAAAAAAATTACGATTTAGACTCGCTTACACGATTGTTGGGGGTAATTCATAAATAGTGTAGCTAGTTCAAAACCTGGTCAAAACAAATTGAAACTTATAGGAAACCTTTCGATTGCTACCGGGTGTAAAAAAAAATAACTCTATCTATTTTAAGAAATTTATTTGATATTTTTCTGGTATTTTAATATTAAAATTACTCTAAAATTTTTAATTTCTTTATTTTTTTATAAAATTTAATTTTTCGTGTAATATTTTGTAAATTTTGAGCTTCTAAATAAACTTAAAACCTATTTTTAAATTTTGCTCCCAAAAACCATGATTTGAACTCACTTATAATATTTTTTAAGGTAATTCAAAATTAGTGTAGCTAGGCCAAAACATAATCAAAACAAGTTTAGACTTTCAGGAAACCTTTGAATTGCTACCAGAATTTTTTAATTTATTGAATTTTTTAGAAAATTTAATTTAAAAAAGTTATATTTTTACCTATAATTAACAGATTTCCTAAAAGTTGTAATTTGTTTTGACCAAGTTTTGGACCTAATTATACTATTTTTGAATTGTCTCCCAAAAAAATAGTGTAAGTAGGTCTAAGTCATGATTTTTTAGGAACCATATAGTCGGAATAGATTTTAAACCTATTTAGAAACTTAAATGTTACCAAATATTGAATAAAAATATGATATGATATTTTGTCAAAAATTAAAAAAATAGAAAAATTCAAAGTATTCACAATCTAAAAAACTTGAAAAATATCAAATAATTTTTTGAAAGATAAAAAATATATTTTTGTCTATCTGAAGGCAATTTAAAGGTTTTCTGAATGTTTCAACTTGTTTTGAATAGGTTTTGGCTTAGTTACATTGTCTTTGAATTGTCCCAAAAAACAGTATAAGTGAATTTAAATCATGATTTTTTTACCACACTTTTAGAATGAGTTTCAAACGATATAAAAGCTAAAAATTTATAAAATATTGGATGTAAGCATGAAATTTTATCAAAATTTACCAAAAATTAAAGAAATTAGATAAATTCAGAGTACCACACTTCGAAATATCAAAAAATAAAATAAAATAAAATAAATTTCATAAAATTTAAAAAGTTATATTTTTGTCCAATCTGAGAGCAATTCAAAGGTCTTCTAAAAGTTTCAACTTGTTTTAACTAGGTTTTGATCCCGTTAATCTGTTTTTGAATTGGGTAAAATAAAATAGTATAAGTGTATCTAAATCATGATTTTTTTTCAACCATACTTTTTAAGTAGATTTCAAACATATTTAGAAGATATTTTAAAAGTATTTTCTTTAAAATACCAGAATTTGCTTTTATATCAAAATCATGCTTTAAAATAATGATTTTTTAAATATATAAATATTGTTACTATATCATTCTTTACTTTCATAGTTAATAAAATTATTTTTTAGTATATTATTTATATTTTGTTACCTATAGTTTTTCAATTGAATATTTTTATATTTTATTATTATATTTATTAATATCAATTGATATATATCATTAATTTTTAAATATTATTTATTTTAAATTAATTAATGTTTTGGGTTGGCTTAACCATTTAATTGAGTAGTTTGGTTCAATAGAATGAATTTGAAATAGAAGAGAGAGAGAGGTGTTAGGAACCAGTCGACAATAAGAAGGGGGAGGGTGAATTAGTGTGGTGGATAAAATTATATCGGTTTGAAAAATCTTTTATACATTGAAAATCGATCTTGGAAGATGTTAACTTGGAAGCGTAAGGAAGCATAGTAAAAGCAATAAGAAGGCAGTTTGCAGTTAAAATAAATTGCTCAAAAGAAATGCAAACCAGATTTTTATAGTGGTTTGGTCGTCGTGACCTATATCCACTCTACCGATTCCTCTTCCGTCAAGGCGACCGGCATCCACTATCAGTCTTCTTCAATGGG